AATGCACATTCCTAGCAATAATTCGCTTCTAAGTTCCGTTGAATCGAAAGTTATACATACATCAAATCGTTATCACACAAGCACAAGCAATTTCATCATCAAACATTGATCATCTCTCATCATCATAAATCATCGATGCATTCGACTCAAGCAATTTTTTTTTTTTTGTTATTTTTTTTATTTTTTTTTTTTTTATATTCCGGAAAAACGAGAAAAACAATAAAAACGAATAAAACCTAATGCATGCAAACTAAAACAATTAAGCACAAAAATAACATGTTTTTCACCCCCAAACTTAAAATTTTCGTTGCCCTCAACGAAATTAGCACAAAGTTTAAGGATAGAAAACACCTGATTTAGTCGGAGTCGATGTGATCGGGGTGTTCCTCCCTAGCTATCTCATGCTCCTCATCATCGGAAAGCTCTCTCGCTCCATCTTCATTCGGAATCGTCGATCGGTACGGGAGCTTGAGGCTTCGGGGTCGTCTCGGGCTTGAGAAGCGGCTTTGGAAGAGGAATCGTCGTTTTGGTGGCACTTTTCTTGCCTTTTCCTTTGCATTTAGAAGATGAAGCTTCTCTCGTGCGGCTTCTTTTGTTGGACAAGAAAGTTGGGAGAGAGGTTGGAATAGATTCGTTAAGAATTGGTTGACAATCGAACTCAAAATTTGGTTGGAGCAAATTATCGAACACCTTGTGGGCGTGTCTTGAAAGAGTAGATTTTGAAGATTTTGGTTCGATTCTCTTGCCTCCATTTGTGTGTGGGAGTTTGAGAGAAGGAATGAGGAGGGTTTAGGAAATAATGGGGGGGAAAATTTGATTTTTAAACATTTAAAACGCCCCAAATAGGTTTGGACGGCCGTCCCGGTTTTTGTGCTAAATTTTGGACGGCCGTCCGAAATTTTTTTTCCTTTCTGGTTGTGGGACGGGGGTCCCCCATTTTCACCTTTTTGTGGGACGGCCGTCCCCCAGGCAGGGGGGCAATTTTTTTTTTTTTTTTTTTTTTTTTTTTTTTTTTTTTTTTTTTTTTTTTTTTTTCGGACGGCCGACTCGACCCTCGATCACGTTTTCGACCCTGAAAAGTAAAATTCAAATAGTGAATTAGAATGCATGCGTATGACAAAAAAAAAAAAAAAACGAAACGAAAAAATTAACGAAAACTACGAAAAACAATAAAGCTCGGGTTGCCTCCCGAGAAGCGCTAAGTTTAAAGTCTTCAGCCAGACTTTGCTTCTTGAAATCGCTATGTCCAATCCAAAGCCTTGTAGATTGCGCATCCATCCATGAGCTTTGTCACTTCAATTTCAACCGATACAGGGATAGAATTGCAATATGCCAGGGTCCACCTTAGCTTGTAGTCTTTCTTAGTTGTAATAAATCGGTACGAAGCCAAGTTGGGATCTTCATCACCCGCTCCCTCAAATCGGTACACAAAAACCTCACGTCCGCGTATAGCCTCCACTTCAAACACATTCGTCTTCTTATCAACCTCTATTGATGTCTTCAAAGCCACGTCAGGAATAACAATAAGATCATCAATTTGAATATTTGCACTAACCACATCCATCTCCTTCTTCTCTTGTTCCGAGACATCTTTGGAGTTGAGCTCGATTTCATTGTCTGATTCATCATCTTCAAGTGTCTTCGTAATTTCTTTTTCCCTCTCATCGACACTATTTTCTAGGTCTAAAGGATTTTTCTCATCACAAGTTTCAGACGGATTTTCGTTGTTGCAACCATTCTCGATATTGTCTGAAATATTTTCATGAGACCTCTTGAGCTTCATCTCTTCCAACATTATTTCAAGTCTTCGGATAGATGCTTGAGTGGACTTCATAAAATCTTCAAGGATGGATTTCCTATAACATTCCTCAATAGTGGGTTCTCGTGGCTTTGCATAATAGGTTTGAAAATCATCAAATTGCGGCTCACGATGTTGAAAATTGTGGAAATCTTGGCTTGAATTGATCTGCTCGTACGTGTTGGTGTATGTGTTCCAGTAACCTCTGTTGGTATTATCTATGAAATTATTCGCTTTCGGTGCATACCAACATTGGTTAGTGTAATGATCTCCACCACATCTTGAACAAAGTAACGGCATATTATAGGTATTTTGGAGGTATTCACCAGACGGAAGCCATTCATATCCTGTTTGAGTTTCGCGAAAATTGTAACTTGACATGTAACCAAAGAAAAGAGAAAAAAAAATATTAAAAAAAAATTAATTTGGGTGAATCGTGAAAATTGTTCAAATTTAGAGCTAGAATAAAATAAATAATTAAAATAGTCCCCGGCAACGGCGCCAAAAACTTGTTGGTCGAAAACCTACACGCAAGTGCACGTATCGTACAAGTAATATAGTGGACTAAAAGTCCGGATATCGAACCCACAGGGAATATTTAATTATCTAATCCTAGACGCTAAATTCTACCAATTATTATCAAGCCCACCCTACACAGTCGAGTTTTGAGAGAATTTACTAAAATAAATTAAAAAGCAAATTAAAACGACAAAGCAAGAAAGCAAATTAAACACGAAGATTTATCAGAGTAAACGAGCCTAGGATTTTATTCTTCCCCCTATGTGATTATTACTCCCCCAATTCCTTCAATTATGCAAGCAATTAACCCGGATTATTAACCTGAGATGCTAAAATAATCATAACCCGCTTCCGCGTGTATTACGATTCTAATACTCTAGATTCAATTACTATATTCCTATGCAATTAATTCTAGAACACAGCATTAAGCACAAATCTCAATAATGGCTACCTAAGAGATTAACTATATTCCTATGTTAATACCACAAAGGCTCTTCTACCACAGTTCTAATTATTAACCCGATCTTCCGATTCATGCGATTAACAATAACATAAAAGCGCATAAAGTGGCCAGTTTCATGAACTTAATAAAACAAGTAGAAGAAATAATCCGGAATTAAAACTTGCATAAAATCATAGAATTGGGTTCATAAATCCCACATAGGGTTCCAAATAAAATCCTAGAAATAAAGACTTAGCTACTCGTGATTCTTATGATAAAGAAAATAAAATAAATAAATAAGAAAAACTATGCTTGAGTCTTCGTTGATCTTCTATGCTCTTGAATTTGCGTCCAAAGATTGATCCCCAATTGTGTGCTTGGATTGGTCTTATATAGGGTGAAGAACTTGGGGAAGAAGGCAGTTTCCTTGTGCAATTAAAATCCCTTTACTGCGCAACTTCGGGGTATGGGACGGGGGTCCCATAATTTGCACTAAAACTGGGACGGGGGTCCGAGCCTTGTTTCTTCAGAATTTTGATATTTTCACTTTTGACCCATATTTTCGCCAAAATTGCAGTTTTGACCCCATACTTTTCCAATTCTTCAATTTGTACCTAAAATACAATAAATCAACTTTTTAAGCACCAATTATCGTTAAACCACACCAAAAGCTCAAATAAAAAGATACGATAAAGTGTAAAAATATACACTTAACAACCTGCCCATGTTTTACTTCATTATTTTCCACAAATTTTCATATTTTATTTCTTTTATATAATATATAATAATGATATACATGTTAGGCATAAAAATTATTCTATAGTTAAATGCCAAAATTAGCTTTTAATCCCTAACTAAAAAAAATATGTTAGGCATGAAATTTGCAACTTGGTGCCAAAGGCCATAGGTGCTACGCAACACTGCAAGAAATAAGTGTCCAACACGTAACGTGTACAATGGTGCCCATTGACTAAGTCTATTGTTCAACGTCGTCAAACTTAATTTTGAATGTGTTCCAATTTGAATCTCGCAAAACTCAAAACAGAAAATGTCCATGGAGTTAGATGTCGAATGCAACTTGAATAATGTCAGTTCGAAGATTAGATGAAAGAGTTCTGATTAAAGTTGATATTACCAAAAAATAACTTGATTTGCGAAATAGTATTTTCAGCAATTACTCATACATTTACCTATGTTTTCCTATAAAAGTACTAAGACCAAAAAACATCATAAAACTGATAAAACTATCTAAAATAAAAGACAAAAACCAAGGTCTCATAGTATGGCCCACAATGTATGGTCTAGTTGGGCTCTCAAGAGAGTATTGTATGATTTGTTCGACCCTACACCCGGTGATAAATACTAGGTGGGTCTTCTGCTGCCACGTGTCTCTTTTTTATATTTTATAATATATTTCCCGCTAGGGTTTACCTTTAGGGGTTTTAGAAAAATAAAAAAAGGGACACGTGGCAGTAGAAGACCCACCCAGTTTTTATCACCGGGTGTAGGGTCGAAGGAACCGTATTGTATCTATAGCCGAAGTTCGAAATGGAGTTGAATTAGTTTTCATTGCGGAAGAAAAAAAAATAAAAGATTTTTCTTAACGCTAAATTGAATGGATCCCAATGCATTAAACTTATAAGTTTTAACCACAAAAGCAATGCATGTGGTTAATCTAACTATTAGTATTTTACCTTTTGTTGCTAATAAGAATGTAGAAGAGTCCCCCGCCCTAATTATAAATAATAAATCTAATATATAGTTTGTTTAGAATTAGAGTTAGTAATACACTAATACACAACTTGTCCAAAGCCCTCTGGAAACTTCTGAATCCCGTCCCTCTTCTCTTCTCTTCTCTTCGCCATCTTCATATCTCTCTCAGGTAAACTTCTCTCTCTCTCTCTGGTTTCTAGTATTTTTCAAGTATTACTTTTTAGATTATCCTTTTTTCCTCAATTGGAATTCCTGAAATGTTTCAATTTATCTTGTTTTCACCAAATTAATTTCGTAATTTACTCGTTCAAGGAAGTATTCATTATATTGTGCTAATTGTGCTTGCTAGTTGCTACTATACTTACTAATGATGCCTTTATTTGCTGCTGTATTTATTTTCTAGTTTCACTTCAGATTCTGGTCAGATTTGATAATAATTAAAAAAAAAAAAAAAGAGAGGGTATTCTATTCTATTCTATTCTATTCTTCTTGATGGAAGCTGGAGGGAATTCCTTACCTTCTGGTACTGATGGAGTGAAGAGGAAAGTTAGTTACTTTTATGACCCTGAGGTTGGCAATTACTACTACGGCCAAGGTCACCCAATGAAGCCACATAGAATTCGTATGACTCATGCCCTTCTTGCACATTACGGCTTGTTGCAACATATGCATGTTCTCAAGCCCAATCCTGCTAGAGACAAAGATCTTTGCAGATTTCATGCCGATGATTATGTTGGCTTTTTGAGGAGCATTACACCCGAAACACAGCAGGAACAGCTCAGGCAACTCAAGAGATTTAATGTTGGCGAAGATTGTCCTGTTTTTGATGGTCTCTACTCTTTTTGTCAGACTTATGCTGGTGGTTCTGTTGGTGGTGCTGTCAAGTTAAATCATGGCCATTGTGATATTGCTGTAAATTGGGCTGGTGGCTTACATCATGCTAAGAAGTGTGAGGCTTCTGGTTTTTGCTATGTCAATGATATAGTGCTGGCTATTCTGGAACTTCTCAAAGTGCACGAGGTCAGTTGTCCTACTGTATTCCCCTGTTTCCTTTTAAACTTTCAGCTTTTAGGATTGTCGACAAGTCTAAAGCATCATATAATGTGTTTGTTGAGTTTTGCCATTTCTTGATTTCATGCTCATGCCTGTGTTCACTGCAAGTCATGGTTGACACTCGTTCTATGCATCACGTTTTGCTGTCCTGAATATCATGTTTAACAGTAGTGTATCTATTTGCTTGATAACTTAACAAATAACGAGTTTTGGCACTCTATTGTGATCCCAGTGCGTGCTATGTAAATTCATCCATGTTGCTTATCAGGAGGCATGATTTCATTGTTTGCTATTTAGTGGCATTCGAATTAGACAAAGTTAATGCTACTATAGTGTTTACTTGAGCTCAGATTTTAATCTTGTTGACTATTTTATTCCGTTTTTGCAGCGTGTTTTATATGTAGACATTGACATTCATCATGGTGATGGTGTTGAGGAAGCGTTTTACACTACAGACAGGGTGATGACTGTCTCTTTTCATAAATTTGGAGATTATTTTCCTGGTACGGGTGATGTACGTGACATTGGATATGGAAAGGGGAAATATTACTCTCTGAATGTCCCTTTAGATGATGGAATTGATGATGATAGCTACCAGTCTCTGTTTAAGCCAATAATGGGCAAAGTGATGGAAATATTTAGACCTGGTGCTGTTGTATTACAATGTGGTGCAGACTCTCTTTCTGGAGATCGGCTAGGCTGTTTTAATCTCTCAATTAAAGGTCATGCAGAGTGCGTTAAATTTATGAGATCTTTTAATGTGCCCTTACTGTTACTGGGTGGTGGTGGTTATACAATACGTAATGTTGCTCGGTGCTGGTGTTATGAGGTAAGCCAATAATATTCTTAGCCAACTGTCCCTTGTGTCAAGTGAGACAGTTCTCATTTTTATGATATTTTCATGTAATCATTGATCTGCTTATTTGTGTACAACTTATAAAACATTAAAATATTGCTTGTTCAAAGCTTAATGCATGTAGTAATTCAGTATATAACTTCAAGATACTCAGGAGACATGGACATGCTATTAAGCCAAGTTATAGCATATATAACTTGTATGCTATAACATATAGCACGTCAAGTTATTAAGCCAGATGAGCCTGTATTCAGAGTAGTTGCTTTTTAAACCTCTAGTAATAGTAGGTAAACGCAATGGGGTCTTGTTTGGTGCTAATCTGGGCGGCATTTCCTCGATTCTGAAGCAATTGATATTGAAATGTATCAGATATGATATACGACATTGCTCAGTTATTTCAAATATTCACCCTAACTGTACTTTGATAGACAGCCTTCGTATTATATTGGAAATATAGGATATCTTTGTGTCGTATAAAATTTGGATAGAATGTTGGAAAAAGACTCATTCTTCCTATGAAAAGACTGGCTTTACATTTATTTTGTCATCTATTTCTTTCTCATCTTTGTAAAATATTTATTGATACAAATTTGTCTATCTTTATGATTGTAACCTCCACTACTATTTATTGATGGGAGTTTGATTCAACAGACAGGCGTAGCACTTGGAATTGAACTTGATGACAAGATGCCACAACATGAATATTACGAGTACTTTGGCCCAGATTATACTCTGCATGTTGCTCCAAGTAACATGGAAAATAAGAATTCTCGTATTTTATTGGAAGAGATCAGATCAAAGCTTCTTGATAATCTTTCAAGGCTTCAACATGCACCAAGCGTCCAGTTCCAGGAGCGACCACCAGATACTGACCTCCCACAGGTTTGTTTCCCATACTTAGTTTTCATGTTTATGTCCTGCCTAATCCTTTCTTATGGGATATATCTACATGGACCTGATTTCTCCAGATTCAACTAAGCACATGGCAATTGTCCTCATATAAGATTCTAAACATAATCCAACACACAGACACGCATACTGTTGGTCTTTAAGCTCTCTGCTGTCTTGTTAGGTTTCATTTTGAATATGCTGCAACTATTTGCATAGCAGGATAATTTATAAAACTTGGTAGAAGTACTTTATCTGAACTTCGAGAATCATTCTAAGTGACATTTCAAGCTTATCTATTGCAGATTATGAAGACATTTTTCATCTGTAGCTTAAAACAGAGCATCACATCTTATAAGAATAATAGTAGAGTAATAGACATAGAACTATTTTAAATATTATTTACTTGATTGGTATACAGATGGATGAAGATCACGATGGTGAGGATGAAAGATCCGATCCCGGCTCTGATATAGAAGTTGATGAAGAACGGTACTTTTTCAATTCACTAACTTTCTAATTTTTCCGACTTTTTTTTTTTGTGTGTAACTTTTCTGAAGTCATATAAATTGCTACGTCCATACAGCAAGCCATTACCTAGCAGAGTGAAGAGCGAATTCGTTGAACCTGAAGCAAAAGACATGGTACTTGTTACTAGGACTCCTTTTTAGACTTTTTTCCTAATTAATGAGAAATTTAGAGCTTCAAATTTGCAAAGATTTAGTAATGCTCTCGTTCTTTGCCTTAGCATGTCGACATTTGCACACACACACACACACCCTCCTGCCTGATCTTACATTCCATGTCAATGTTTTTCCATAATATTTTTTCATACTCATTATCATGGTAACATCATCATTAACTTGTTTATGTTTCAAATCGTTAACCTTGTGGTATTTCTGCCTTATGGTTTCATTGAGGATCAAACTGCGTGAAAGAAAAACACGTAAGGAATAGATAGGGATGACCTTCCTTGGTTGGGGAGTTTGGGTTAATAATTATTCATCTAGGCTCCATTTAATTGGTCTTCCAACCTCAAATGATGTGTAAAAGGCTGTTAAAACCTCCACTAATCTTTTAGGGGGTATCCACTATATAACCAGATATTTTCATCTAGCATTTGACAATTTTATATTTGGATCAACAATGGATCCTTGTATGTATCTTGTAGTGTTTATTTTCGTCATCCAGTCGTCTCGAAGGTGATTTTACAATTGAAATAGAACAGGATCCTGCAATTACACTAGAATTGTTGTAGCAACATAAATCGAAAGGTAAGCCAAGGTGTTTTAACACTAATAATCATTAGGCAATGTTTCATGCTATTTTGTAACATCTAAGTTCCTTGGCAACAACAAACACTTAACACCTGCACATGCAAAGTAGAAGCTGACATTCAATGTCAATATGAGTCCCTATACTAAGTTACTGACAACCAGCTGTTTCATTTTTCAAGGCATCCGAGAGTAAGCACAGTTAGTATGGTTTGTAATAGTGACTGCTAACTCCTTATAATCTGGTTAAGTTTAGCTCTTGTAGAGCTTTGTATACCTAACTTTTAAACCTAATCTGTGCTTGTATAATCCTTCCTCATGCTAAATGTACAAGATGCGTAATCTGAGAAATAGGATTATTAAGGGTATCGTAGTTTTTCCATCTAACGAGTGAATGCTTCTATCTATTATTGACTTGAAATTTGTCGCCTAGAGATTGTGTTAGTGCTGACTGTTATGTTACATATTCAGAAAAGAAACCCCATGAAGCATATAGGAATAGTAACTAGTAAGTGAAGGTTATTAGTTTTCTAGATTTTACATTTATTTGACCTAATGGAACAAATATATTTTCATTCATTATGCTTGACTCCGGGGAAGGTGGGGAATAGGTGAAGCATTATGTTATCCTCATTGCAATCTAGAATTATTTGCCGACATGTTTAAGAAGAATCATCATAGCGAAAGAGATTGTATGGTTTTACAACTTGTTGAGAAATGTTACAAGTAGTATGTATCTTGATGAATTAAAAGTTTATGAGCAGCACTTTGGTAACATTGTTTCTCCCTCCTGTTATTGCAGGATATCGTTAAAGAAGATGCCCACAGTAAGGAAGTCGATCTCAAATGCTCTGAACCTCTTGCCTAACAATCAACTTGAAGTAAGACATAATTATGAAGTAGTCATTTAAAATTCGTGAAATGTGATTGGAACATGGATTTTGCATGGTAAAGTCTGTAAACCAGAATTGCTCGTAAATTATGCAAAATCATAGCCACACTTGGTTTTCTGTGCAGACATTTTTTTATCTGAAACACCAATCAAACATGTTTTAGTTGAATATGATAAATTAATTATGTTATGATGCACAGAATTAATTAGTGAAGAAGTTCTAGGACTGGAAATTAATCTATTTACTGATTAAAACAAACTGTATTTAGGATGCTCGTTTGCTGCTGATTAAAAGAGTTACAAGAGTATTATGAATGTACAGACATGGATGGGTCTCCCACTGCAGTTTCCAAGTTCCGAGATTCAATTTAGTTAACGGAGACAAGAACTCACAGGAAAGAATGGCCAGCATATTTAGACATTTGAAGATTTTATTTATTTATTTCTGTTTTGGATTTTCGGGGCTGATGGTTTTGCAGCGAGTGTTATATCTAATCTGTGCTCCGTAGAGTCGATATCTATTTTTTAGGATGCAAATCTATCTTATCCGCCTGTTATTTACGTCGAGATTACCCTTTCTCTACTATAAAAAGGTAAAACAAATATGGACAACTTATATTAGTATTTTTCTTATCATAAATATCTATTTATTGGGCATAAACAACATAAAAGAAACCACCTTTACAAATATAATATATTCCTCCCTTTTTTTCCATCAATTTTACCTGTATTTCACAATTTCCATTGTTAATAACAATCTATATAGAGATACGAAAATGGACTATTGTTAATAAAAGAAGTTTTAACAATGGAGTTCATTTTAAATTGACAAAACTGTCAACTTTTACCTAATTTCGTTAAGATATCTTATTAAATCAACTGAACTATCCTTTATTAAAAAGTAATTTGCAATAACTTAATTTTGATATTATAAAATATCACTTTACCTGGTAAAAGACCAATATAAATTAGTAAAAAGAACGAACTAGTAAAAAATATTAAAACCTCATGATATTTTGGAAAAAGCAAATGCAAATTTTAGGAGTATTTTAATTTCTTTTAATAACTAATACAAATCGAATCCTTATTCAAGGCACATTATAATTGGAATTTGAGTAGGATTACATAGGAAAATATTAAAACTTCCGTGGTTGTAACTATAACTATCATGCTAAAAAGTTGGGGTCAATTTTTAATTTCCCACAAAACAGCACCTCTTTCATTGTTGCTCTGAGACCGATTTTCCTTCGAAACGTACACAACTTTCTGTCCAAACTAGCATTTTCATTGTGGAATGCACGGTACTGAAATTAAGAAATAATAGAGAATCTCAATAATCTACAGAGAAATATTACAAGATAATAGACTAATCTAGATAATTGAATCATACTAATCTAGATAACAATATGTGAATATCATAATAGAATCATCATATTATAAGAGTTCTATAATAGATAACAGTAAAGTTCCATAATCTAATATACCGTAACATACGTGATAACATTTCATAATTAAAAATAATGATTAATTTAATACATGACAACAACAGTTATAATAAATTATATTAGCGATATCGGTAACAACATCAGCATTTATACAAATTTACTAATATAAAATTAAAATCATTCCAAAAAAATATATATAAACTTAAATTACAAAAAACTCCTGAACTTAGGCTAGATAACGAAAAACACCCCGAGTATTCGTAATAATCAAAATCCCCCACATATTATACCTTCTGTTAAATATGTGAGAAATAAAAGAAAATATCTGAATTGTGTAAAGTCTATTTCCTAGAATAAAAAAAAAATCCGTGAAAATTCACACTGTCAGGGGTTAGCGTAAGACAAAAACAAACTTTAGGGGGTTTCTCATAATTATGAATAGGTTGGTGCGTTTTTTGTTATTTAGCCTAAGTTTAGAGTTTTCGTAATTTATAAGTAGTATATTTTAAATTTCTAATTATTTTCAGCTCCAAAAGAATTTAAAATTTCAATATTTGCCCAAAAATAGTGTTTTCCTTTGCTTGCTAACGGAATGTAACGGTTTATATCAAAAGTGTTTTGAATTAATAGAGACCAAAAGTATAATTATGCCAAACATAAGGTACCAAATTGTAATTGTCCCTAATTTACCCTATATAAAGATTATCTTCCTAGCGCGCTCGCATCCTTTCGCTGGTTTACAAAGTCCGGGCAAAATTCTGTTGCCAACGCCTTCATTCGCCGCCACCCAGCCAGCGTCTCCCCTCCGCCGGCGTCACGCTGCCTTTCTCACAACTAACTATTGTATTATTTTATATCTGGTACATCCTATTCTCTCTAATCACGTATTCAATGTAATCAATTTTCTTAGGCTCTTTGCTAGTTGTGTTTAGTATGAATGTATGAAATAGTTGATGTTGCAGTTAAATAGCCCATGGACCCAGCTTCTATAATTAATAAATCTAGGCAATCTTCTATTCACTCAGTAACCGAATTTTTTTTTTTTATTCGTTGGTAAGTTATATAAAGAGAAAATATGACAAGTGCCAGTATATGGGTATATGAGTGGTGGATACTAATTTCCATTATCTGCTCGTTCAGGTAGACTAGGGTTGTGGTGAGCTTAGGTATCATGGTCGAGCATGGCGGTGCCAATCCCCCAATAGATGGGAATACTAATAATAATAATAATAATAATTGTTCAATTCCTGGAGAAACAATAGTATTTGATGCAGTTGAACACCCTATGGAATTAGAACTTGAATCAGAACTCAATTTGCAAGAGGATGAAGAAGATGGAGATAATAGCGACGTTTCTGAAGAAGGCGAAGCAGTTTACGAATTCCAATTCGAAGGGGAAATGGACCCTTTGTCTTTTGCGGAAGAAGAAGATTCCTCTGGACTGCAGCCTTATGAACGATTTGAGCAGATTCAGCACCATTACGAATTCTTGGCTGCTACTGCTAAGAAACGCCCTACTCTTCACAAGTGCCAGAGGTATGTTTTCATCTTCTCTTGATTTTTTGTATTGTTCAGTATGTTATTAGATTTTTTCCATCTGCTATAACCTACCTGCTTGTTAGATTTGTTTCTTCAGCATTCATATGTTGGCATGATTTTCCTCATAATGCATTCTCCATTTGGTTGAGGGATTGCAGTGAAAGGCCTGCTAAGAGGTTGAGACAGGAGGAAATGCTTGGAGCAAGCTTCGAAGAAATGATGGAGACCATGAATTACGGCGGTAGGAGGAGAAAGTCGAGGAAGGTTTGAACTTGTTTTCCCTTTTATTATAAGTGCTTACATCTCTTGATTCTAAGATCCTTAGACTTTGATGTTATGCGGTTATATATCCTTACAAGTTTTCAGATGGAACTTTTCACTATCCTCGTCGATTACCTTAGTTCTGGTGATTTTAGAATTTCAGTCCATGCATTTAAATTCTTAATGGTAAAAATAAATAATCAAGGGGCTAGTAGATATACAAAGAGTCCTTCATCCATTGGAAACAAGCACACATGGACTGGTCATTGCATTATGATTGATGATTAAATTTCTGATAAGAATGTGATTTGGCGCAGTTTTTCTTTTTCTTCAATTTGTTAAATTTCTGATAAGAATGTGATTTGGCTTTAATTATCTGTGTTATTTTATTAACACTTGTTGTTGACATCAAATCAGGCTAAACGAAATGGAAGGAGGAAGGGATCAAGAAATAAAGCTAACCCTGAAATGACTCGAAAACTTGGTGATGCTACACTTTGTTATGCACACGGTCGTTTTGAAGAGGTATATAATGGCAGTCATGTCTGTAATCTATATTTTACATCTCATATTTGAGAAAACTCTGTTTCTTATCTACCAAACCGTTCTCTTCCAATCAATCTAGAGTGTTCTCTTTACTGTTTATTTTTCTTCAAGTAGCTTCTGCCAGTAAAAAGAATGGAACAAGAGCAACAGTCTCTCTTTCTAACAGATGGAATATGAGATTTCCATAGTTGGGATTCATTAGGAAAGGTGACATGTCTTTTAGATCTCGAATTTATGTAGTTCTAAGGCAATGAATCAGGGATTGCGACGCATGTGCTGTTCACTGAGTCCAAACATCAATCACTTGTTTTTTTTTTTTTTCTCATTTGCTTAATGCAAGTAATTGGTGGTGCTCGTTTGCTCTAAGTGTTTGTTGACTATCATTGGCTGAGTAACTATATTTGCTTCATTATGTTTTAGTGGTATCTTTGTAGGAAACATACCGTATTATGCTGCATCTTTATCAATGTGTTTTCATTGTTTGAATTAATAGTGCAAAACTATGGCCTTCCTCCTTCATTGGAAAACTTTTATCTTTTTAATAACATTTTGATCTTTTATCTCTATTGATCCATTTCCTTTTTCTGTTCATCTTCTGAATTACAGGCCATCCGTGTGTTGAAGGAAGTAATTCGTCTTGCCCCAAATCTATCTGATTCATATCATACACTTGGTCTTATTTATACTGCAATGGGCGATAAGAAGAGAGCCTTAAATTTCTACATGATTGCGGCACATTTGAATCCGAAGGATGCTTCCTTGTGGAAACTTCTTGTCACCCGGTCAATGTAAGATGCCATTACGTATTTACACCTCTCTTCTTTTTTATGTATAATTTGCTAAATTTGTATCTTCTGTAGCTTAATTGTGAGTGTCATAGAAGCAGGAAATGGGACAAAAACTAGAATGCAGAATACACAAAGGTAGATTTAATTTAAGAGTCTTAAATATGAAATCCACCAAATACGATGTCCTTATGGAGGCGCCAAAAGTTACTAATCCAAGCGTGTCCAGACACTGAACAAGTACTATCTATTTATACTAAACCTAAATAACACTAATTTCTGAAGAAAATGGGAATAACTGAGCAACAAATAACTCCCATTTTCTCCTGAAATTAGTCCGCAGAGGTGGAGTTTTATCATGGTTTCCCCGCTGGAGTTTCATAACTTTCCCAGCTAGCTTACTCAAGTGGGTGCCCTTTCGAATTGAATCAGGAAATTCCAGCTCGTACGCCTCTTGTCCAAATACACTGTCTATATGGAGAGGTTATGGCTCCAGAAGTTAATATAAAATCTGTCCAAAAACTGAACAAGTACGAACTATATATACTAAACTAAAAAAAACACTAATTTCCTAAAAACAGCGAATAACTGAACATCAAATAACTAGCTTGAGAAGAGGCGGTTATTGAGAGGCCTTATCGACATCAAAGACTCGCTTCATGTAATTTTGGCGGGACTGCATAGACCCACGCACTTGTTGCTGTCTACTAGTTTATTGCAACATTTAAATGTTCTTATAAGTATATACTTGAAGTATATGTCTTGTATTTTTAAGGTTTATTTCTTTTTAATATGACATATTACATGTTTGGAATGGAAAATTTTGTTGAGTTTTAACTTTTTCGTCATAACAGATTTCCAGGAACTCAGAATAACTTCAACCCTTGTAGTTATTTGGGTAGTCGCATTGTGACGTGATAAAGAACACAGGACATTAACCTAATCAGAAGATCTTAATTCTTTAGCTGATTCAGAACAAGATAAATACGTACATTAGATATGCTTTTACATTCTTTGTCAAGACTGGAGGTGTTTATTTTTTTCTATGGAACGTTTAGTTGGGGATTGATGCGGTGGCATTTTGTACTTCATAACATTAGATCCAAATTGTTAATTCCCTTAGAGGAATAAGAAGAGCGAAAAAAAGAGATACTTTTAAGCACGTAGTTTCCGAAGTGTCAACAATACAAAATCATGTAAAAACCAAAGAAAAAAATAACGGCTGGTAACGGCACAAACTGGTCGATTTGGGCTGAGTAAGACCTTGTCTCTGTTAACTAGCTCAACTTCTATGATTTTGCAATATTAGTGTTGGTACCTATGTCAACTTTCAGCCATCTGGTTTATGGAACCCATGAAATGTGATCTTTAGCATAAGGCTTCTGAAGCTGATAAAACGAGCTTGTGGCGCTCTAATTGATAAGTTTGCTGACACATACATCTGTGCTTATATTCATATCTAGTGGAGTATCTCTCATTACGAAACATTAATGTTTGCACAAATATAATGCAGTAAGATCCTGTTACTGGTTATACATCTGTGCCATACATTACTTGCACCTTTTCTTCTCGGCTGCTGTTAAGCTTGTTAATCATAGAGTTTGAACTGGCTTCTGAATGATGTTTTATTCTCTTCAGAGAGGAAGGGAACACAAGGCAGGCAAATTATTGTCTTAGTAAAGCAATAATAGCAGATCCAGAAGATATTGGACTTCGTTTTCATCGAGCTTCATTATATATTGAGCTCAGAGAGTATCAAAAAGCCGCTGACTCGTATGAGCAAATCTCTCACCTCCGTCCTGATAACATTGAAGTGCTGGGAAAAGCGATACAGGTATAGTTGTGTCCTTAATATATTTCGACCATCACTTCAAGTGCATATATGATTAGTTGATATAAGCATAGACTATTAACTGTCAGTTATTAGTTCGCAATTGACTGCTTGTGGTGATTATATATGATTTTCAATTTCTTAATAAGCATTTCGTTATTGCATGCAATTTCTTGGCAAAAAAAGGCAAACAGTAGTTAAACCTCTCCAAGTAAAGACATAAATGGTAAGGGTCAATTAAGGATGATCACCGCTGACTCAAGTTTCCCTTCCCCCAGCAGTACTCTTTTCAGATCCATCAACTTATCCTGTTACCGTTCTAAGTGAGTTAATACAGAATGATTTAAAAAACTTATGGTTTGGTTTGGCTTTGGTATTTGGCAATTAATTAAAGGGAAAATAGAGGATCGATAATATTTGTGGTTTGGGTTTGGCCTTTGGCTAAATCAGGAATAGAAGTTCGATTTAACTTTGTACCCCCTTATGCAAAGAAAATGTAGCTGACCCTTAAAAAGTATTTCAGGCTCCATTCAGATCAATTTCTTCCTTTGGGAAAACTGGCATGTATAATTTAAATCAAATGTTTTTCCATAAATGCAACACATTTGCTGCTCACTTAGTGCTAGAGGCTAGAAGTTGTTACCTTCCTTAAACCGCTGCCAAAGATAATTAAGATGGCCAACATGATTTGCAATTCAAAGGCTGAAACACAAACAAATTCAGACAAAGAAATATATTAGATATTCATCATGCACTATGCTAGTTGCTACATGTGGCAGATGTTGCACTCTCCCTATGTGCACTCATCTCCATTTTGTAAATTATTTTTCCTTCTTCAGTATAAATACTATGAGCTTAATTTCTCACTCTTGTTTTCCAGCTCTATAAAAGATGTGGACAACATGAGCGAGCTATCTGTATGCTGGAGGACAGTATCAAGAATCATGGAAATATTACTAATTTAAGTGTGGTTGATCTCTTAACTTCAACACTCATGGAGAGAAATGAATACGCGAGAGCTCTTGAACATATTGAGTGCACACAGCATGTTTTTGGTACTGGAAAAAAAATTCCGCTATATTTAACTATAAAAGCTGGAATATGCCACGTCCATCTTGGACACCTGGAGAAAGCTGAGGTTTGTTTTTTATTACCCTCTTAAATTTTAAGACAAACTTAATTATCTTTATGAGTCATTAGAAGAAGGTACAGTTTGTGTTAAAATTTTATGTATCTGAGCAGTTGTTGATAGGTCAAAATGTGCCTATGCCTCTGTTTCATGTTGTCAATACGCGTGCACATATGTCTTGACATATTTGTGAGACATGTGTTGAACTTATTTTTGTCTTGCTTTTAGGGTTTAGTAGTTCCATGGAATCTCGGATATCTATAAATAATTAAACAAATGCAAGCGGATGACGGAAATCTTAACTTGCCGGAAATAGATGTAAGAGGGAAAATATATTTGTGGTGCCAATAACTCGTGTAGGTTCTTCCATTTTGAGTTTACTTTTGCATCCATATAAAACCAGATTTCTATCCACAAAGTCTTTGCATTAATCTTGAACTGGGACTTTACTTTGCAAGTATTTTGGTTGAAGTGTTTACATCGACTCTTATTATTCTGATGTCTAAGGTGAGACGCACGAGCTTAAGAAAAATTCACGACTGAATCTTCAATAACTATCTTGATTTTAGTACTAAATAACTAAGTATTAACTACACAATCTTTTGTGAGACATGAGTGTCTTATGGTCTTTTAATGCGAATTCCTGTAATAAGCTAGTAACTGTTTTGACATGCGGAAAAGAATTTATTGAGAATTTCTGGGTACAGTGTTAAGTTTGTCTTAACTAACATTGGGAGGTAGCGTAATTTGGTTCCTGACTTAAATATACATCCAGTAGGGTGGTATTTGTGGAACTGATTGAGCGCGTCTTTCATACATTTTAATTTCAAACTATCCATCTTAAGTAATCCCTTCTTCTTTGACTAATGTGAGATGCCAATTTTCTCGTTTTTCTTGTCCTTCTCTGGTTTTCTACGAAGCTACACGTTCATATGCTATTTGTGCTTGGGATGTCATCCAGATAGAACTCTCTTTCTTTCTATCTTTAGCTTCATCTTCGTTGCAATTAAAACCAATGTTACTGTTCACTTGTTTGGTGAATTGTATTTTTGCATGAACTAGTTCAGAACCTATTTGATATTATTCAGATAGTTTATTTTCAACATTTTTCATCTGGAAAATCAGTATTGGCTGTATAATGAGTTCGTGAATATTATCGATCACAATTCTGGACTATGTTGGAGCATCGAATTCCCTTAGAGTTCATTATACCATTTTAAGTTATAACCTTATGTTTCTTATTTAGTTGTCTTTATCTGCCGAAGTTATATTTTCATCTCTAACAGTTTTGGCATTTGGTTTAAACACATTTGCACTTTACTGATTGTTTGTGGAATTGTTTCACAGGCTTACTTCAATGTTTTAAAACCAGAGGATACATCTGCTCATCCTGCATTAATTCTTGATTTTGCTGCCTCGTTGATGACTGTTGGGCATCATGAATCAGCATTAAAGTATTATAAGATATTGGAAGAAGATGCAGATAAGTACAATGTAAGGACAGTTAAATATAGTGATAATTAGTTTTTTTTCCTAAATGATTTCGGTACATCATAATATTTTCTAGGACTAGAACACTACTAACGGTTGACCTTTCATATTCAATTTCAATATATATTTAGGGCTACATATATTTGAATATTGCGAGGTGTTATGTTTTCCTGAGGAAAGGGGTGCAGGCGATTGATTATTATTACAAAGGTAATCCAAGGATTGAAAATCTTATGACTACTTAATATGTAGTGCAAAAATTCGTCTTTTCTGAATGCTGATATCTGGAATTTTCAATTTAGCTAGAACTTATATGTGCTTCATTTTGTAAACCCTTTTCGCCTCAGTGTACAATAATTTACTAATAATTTACTGGCGTATCTGACCATCTTATTTTTTGTAGCTGTTAAAAAACATAACAACAATATTGACGCTCGGTTGATGTTATCATCTCTTCTTCTTGAAGAAGGTAGAGATGATGAAGCCATTTGTGTGCTCTCGCCTCCACTAGAACCAGGTATTTATACTATAATCAACATTCTTATATCCTTGCGCTGTTTGTGATTTGCTTAATAAATGCTGTTTTGCATCGTCAGAATCAGCTCTTGACACAAAATCAGGTACATCTGAATTGTGGTGGCAAAGTGGGATGATAAAGTTAAAGCTTTCCCAAATTTATAAAGCCAAAGGGTCATTGGAGGCGTTTGCAGATGTATTGTTTCCTGTAATTCGTGAGACATTGTTTCTCGAAACAGTCCAGCAAAAGGTAATATCATATATATCCTCTCTTTATCTTTCTCACTTTTTCTTCATCCTCAAATTCCCTATCTCGCCCTGATCTACTTACTTCAACATTACGTAACTTTATGAAACTTGTAAGAAAGAAAAGTTTAAAAAGTAACTACTAATTACACGAGCAATTCTCTCTATATATGTTGCTTATATGCTCAGTTGTTGATCATTAAATCATTCTACTTCTTTGTTGCTTTAATAGTGCATAGTATGGCACCCTGTTGCAGAACACTGCAGTTATGCATTGTGGTTCTCCAAAGAAGTTGTACTCGTGACCGAGGCTCTATTGTAGGCCGAAGGATAGAAGATACATCAGATTTATATGAAAAAACAAGCTTTCATGGGTTATATATTTCTGGTTTGATACCATTTAGAGTTCCTTAATATGTGACTTGTAAAGTTAAAACCTGACCTATTATCTGTTTTGCGGAGCCTTATTCTAAACAAGTTTATAATATGTACTGTTCTTACATAAATCTCTTAAGTCGTCGTACTCATGCAACTTTTAGTTTTGTTGACCTCCGTAAACCAGGCGTTTGTTTCGTGTGTCTGGCTATATATATTTGGTGACATCTTCATTTTAGTTTCTATCGTTTCATACATTCATTCTTCCCTCTAATGTTCATGATGAAGATCAAATTGTCAGATTTCTTTTCATGATATGTAATAAATACTCCTTAAAATCATATACATGTGGATCAATGTGTCAAACACATTAATTTGTGTCACTTTTGGTTACACGCAGCAACAAAATTTGTGACAACAAGTTTCTCCATTATGGAATTAGGTTAAATCTCGTAAACGGCTGTCTACAAGTGTTCTTTCAGAAAGGACGAAAGTGCTAGATGATCATCAAACTGACAACGTGTTTCGTGGATTCAGGCCTATAGCTTCATCTGCAGATCTGTGAGTATTCGATTAATGTTTTCTTTTGCATTCAGATTACTGAAATATTAAATAGGTTTTCATTTGGCAAGTAATCTTCTCATCAGATACAAGTAAGTGTTGTTTGTTTGACAGGGAATGACATCTATAGGAAAATCTAACACCTGCAACTGACCTTAGAAGTATATATTTCCAATTCAACTAAACTGAATCCCTCGTATGGAATCTTCGATATATTGTTTTCACCATGGTGTTTTGATTACTTCCCTTTGGATTTTGAAAGAAAAAATCCACATGATATTCTCAACCTATGTAGAGTCGCATAAGCACGTATCGTGTATGTATACTTATAGCTTACGATACAGGTGATGGATAATCTGATGCCTTTTGTTTTTCTCAATTAACGTAATATATACAAATATATACATGCATTTTTTGTGTATTTACATCTAAATCTTGTATCTATTATTGTCATAGATAGGTCGATGCCGGACACTACTTTCTTATCAGTTTGCGAAAAGTTTCATTGAGTTACCATAGTATCCAACTTGGCATGCCATTCACATTACAGATGATTCAGAAATACAACAGGAATTGTTATACTACCCAATACACCATTATAAATGTGCTACCCCACCATAAGCTGCTGTTATGGAACTTAGTTTCAGCTTTAGGAAATGCTTTATTTATTATACATATAATGTGATGCTTTCCATGATTAAGAAAAAGATTTATAATGATGGAATGTGTGTTTGACCTGACTCGTATCTTGGAATAGGTCTAAAGCTGCCAGAGCAAAGAAGTTACTCCAAAAGAAGGCTGCAGTGAAGGAAGCGAAAAGAGCTGCAACATTGGCTGCTGGTTATGATTGGATGAGTGATGATTCAGATAATGAATCTCCAGTAAGGAATAGACTCAATCTGATTTTGTAGTTATCACATGTTCTTAATGGAATATCCTTTTTTTCAACTTTAAGGGTTCTCATAACTCATGCAGAAAGTATTCCGGAAGCCTCCTTTGCCCGACTTTCTAAAAGAAGAGGAAAATCTTCTTTTGATTGTGGAGGTAAGTTATTTTATTGCAGATCCTAACGTTTCCCTCTCATTATTTGTGAGTCCATGCACGTGTCTTTCTGTTTGAGATCAACTGAGTTCATTTTGTGAAGAACTAAGAAAGAACTATGACAGACTAGTTCATCTTGCTTTATGTACAAGAGGTTTAGCAAAGGTTATCTTTGTAGTTAAGTTACGTATAATTTTCTAATATATGATTATGATTAATTTTACTGTATTGTGTCTGAAAAAACAATAATTTTATTATATTTATGTTCAGATTTTTTAATGGTGTAAAGCACACCTAAGACTGTTTTTATTTTTTCCTTCTGATACAATCTTCTATTTTCTTTTGCCTTTGTTGATTTATGATTTATTTATGAAATTATCTCTTACTGATAAAATTCCATATACCATTTCCATCTCCGTAGTTATGCAAGTCATTATCCTCGTTGAAGAGGTATTGGGATGCACTAGAGATAATCAATCTCAGTCTGAAACTGGAATGCAACACATTGTCTCTGCAGATGAAAGAAGAGCTTCGAACGCTTGGTGCTCGTAAGTTTGATATTTTGAAATATAGTTTCTCTTTTATACTTTTCTTCCACCGTTCAATGCAAATCGTAATAATCCCCACCTTGTTATTTCTGTGGGATAGACCGTTTGATGAGATTTGAAGATTTTGTCATCTTTTTAAATTGTAGATATAGGATATAAAATTGCTGATCCTGCACATGGCTGGGATTACGTGCGTTACATTGTTAGTCGGCATCCTCACAGTTTTTCTGCCTGGAATTGCTACTATAAAGGAATATTGAGGTACTCATCTCCCTCATTATGTTGTTAATGTTTCTCTGCATTCATTAGCATTCCTCTGCACTACGGAGCATCTTAAAAGTTAATAATTGCATAATAAACTAAACAGTTCCTTATGTACTGCAGAAATAATCGACTCTTGAGGAACAACAAGTTCCTTCTCAGCATGAAAACGAAGCACAAAGATTCTGTACCACCCATTCTTATTTCTGGACACAAGTATACCATGATGAATCAGCATCAAGCAGCTGCTCGTGAATATTTGGAAGCTCATAAATTGATGCCTGACAATCCCTTGATAAATCTTTGTGCAGGTACGTACGTATTAGATGAAACCTGGAAAAAAAATTCTTGATTTTTCTTTTTAATTATTTTGAGAAAAAAAACCCTCTACCTGATAAATCAACAATCAAATACATCAATGTTTGCGAGGACGACGAAAACGTGAATATAGCCCAATTACTCAAAATCTTGATATTCCTTGTGCCTGCATTCCTATAATTTTTCAGGAACGGCTTTGATAAATTTGGCCCTTGGCCTCAGGCTTCAAAACAAGCACCAGACTGTGTTACAAGGGCTTTCATTTCTCTTTAAAAACGCCCAGATTTGTGGAAACAGCCAGGTCTGATTCTGTTCTTAAATTATGTAATTAAATGAAGTCATATTCTTATTCGATTTGCATAACTCAAATAATTTGTCAGTAGTATATTCAGACACACGATACATATTTTGGTCACATGCAATTAATTTCCTCTTCATTTTCTCAGCAACACATGTAATCGAGTATCGATTATTTAATCTCGAAAATTGTTAATGCAGGAGTCGTTATACAACATCGCTCGAGCATATCACCACATTGGTCTCGTTGATTTGGCTGTCAAGTATTATGAGAAGGTATTGGCTATTAGAGAGAAGGATTATCCAATCCCAATCCTACCAAATGATAATCCGTGTGATTCGGGTATCAAAAGGCCAGGATATTGTGATCTTCGTAGAGAAGCTGCTTACAATCTCCATTTAATTTATAAGAAAAGTGGGGCTTTTGATCTTGCTAGGCAAGTCTTGAAAGATCATCTCGTCTTGTGATACACTTAGTCACATATATGTATATATACAAATTCCACTGTACATATAGGTTTTCAAGTATATTTATGTATTTAAAAATAAACTATTTTTGCCATCATTATTTCTTGTAGCTGTTAAAAAACCTAATGACAGTATCGGAGGTGGGTTAATGCTAACGTGTCTTCTTCTTGACAAAGCCATTTATGCGCTCTCGCCTACAGTAGAACCATGTATTTATGCTTTAATCAAACTTGTGATAATATTCTTGCGCTGTTTTGTATCGTTAGAATCAGCTCCAAACGCAAAATCAGTTACATATAAATTGTGGTGGCACGTGAGAAGATAAAGTTAAAGGTTTCCCAAATTGTTCGTTTCTGATGTCTTGTGATGGATGTTATATGTAAAATTTGCTTCATCGAGTTGGCATCTTTTTTTTTTAATGACGCAAATCTATCAGTTCCGACTGTTGTTTACGTCGAGATTCCCATTTCTACTATAAAAATTAAAACATAGATAGACTTATGTTAGCCATTTTCTTTTAATAAATAATTAATGTGGAATGGTAGAGCTTCAATATTTTATTGGCCATAAATAAAAACACAATCAGAAGACTCTAATATCGCCCTTTCATCCAGAGAGGTGAACTTTTTATGCAATTTCCAGGTTTCCTCTTAGAACCAAATTGTTCATCAAAAACAAACTCTTAGTAATGAGATTTTCTTCACGGGTTCAGTTATATATTGTTTAATCTATCATCATCTCATGATTCTTCTATACTTGTTGCAATTTTAACAAACTATATCGAACGAATATGGCAGTTTGTCAATGAAAACGCTACAACTGAAACCGACATGGAAAAAAAGAACAAAAGTTAGGAAAACAATACAATATTAGAAAGAAAGAAAAAAATCATAAATCATAAGAAGACAAATTAAGTTCCGAACATCTTTCTCCAATCATCGATCAGCCTCTCTTGTTTTACTAAGTAGCCTTCCTTGTGGTAAAAGCTTGACAAGTAGACAGCAAAACAGTGATAATAAGAAAATGGAAATAGGGTATTAAGTAATAATGAATAAAATATGCTCCGACCTGCCGGATTCGAACCGACAACCAAAGGATGTGGCAATTTCAGGTGCAAAAAATCCTGGTTTCACCCAATCCTTTTACTCTTCCATTTGAGCTAAGGTCGGTCGGTCCAAAAACTCTTCAACTGTTTTTGAAGGAGAATTAAACTTCAAAGGGTATTATTTGTAGCCCTACAAATTGATTGGTATTATTCTGGAACTTGAAACATCATACATAGTGATGATGTTTGATTCATCATTTTTGTGTATATGAAAATATTTGTTGCCGCTCAATTGTGTGTGCTCTATAGGTATAAAAATAAGTCAGCATCAACTAATTTGTTGGAATGGAAGGAATAATAAACAAATGTTGTTCGCACCAACATAATTGATTTATATCTGTAATATATTATATATATATAACCCACAATACTAATACTAATAATAATATAATAATTATATAGTACCTAGTACCTACACTACACATTAATATATCTCTTACTTTTTCTCCATTCATTTGAGCGTAAGTATATGTTGATAACTTCATTAAAATCAATTCCAACTTTCATTATTGTTTGGTAGATAAAGGAAGTAGAAAACACATACCAGAGAAGCCTTTTGACATACAATCAGTCCATTAAGCATTTGGCACATCTACAGAAGACTAGTTGTTTCTCCCTGCGCAATATGAAATTGAATTATCCATGTACCCTCATAAAAAAACTAGCTGACATATATTTAAATTAATTCAGCACCAAGTAAATGGCTATGTGTAATTTTTGGAGAACACTGGATTATCTAGGATCGATCAGCATTTGCAATCAAAATAGTATTAAAAAGCCACATAATTTTGCGAGAGTTGATGTTACCAAACGAGCGACTTATTATGAAATAAATAAGGCAATAGTAATTGCAGACATTGTTGTATGTTTCTTCAGCCATGACCCACATCATACCCCGAACACAGACAGGTGAGATGAAAATTGAGCAAATAGGTTTATAGTCATCGTAATAAATTCAAACTGCCTATTCTTTTTCTGCATTTCTTCACACACTCTTTGCAGTTTGGGAACTACGTATACAACTGCCCCATATGGCAGAATATTCTTTTACTCCTTTCAATTAACAAGTGTTGTATATGTTATGAAATATTCCAAAATTGACAGTATGTCTGTCTGTACATGTCATCGAATACCCAAAACTTTGCCTAGAACAGTGAAGAAAAATAACTAATTTTCAGTTCTTAAGAGGAGAAACTCATCTGCAACTGAGAGATATCTACAAGAATATGTTGGGTAAATGTCATCTGTTGTTGACCACTGACATGGAAAGGAGATCCTGCTCTGCCATGAAGTCAACTCAACCACATACTTAAGCAGTTCATAACCTGAAAGGGGGATCAACCTTCGATGATATTTTGACCATTCATTCAACAAATCTGTTCAGAAGAATATCAACGTATCTGTGTATCAGCAAATGTCAACTAGGAAGAAAATAATATACAACTACAATTCCACGTGTAAACAACATATACAAGAATAACAAACAACATACAGTCAATTATTCAACAATGTATATCAAACTCCAAGGAGATCAAAGCAATCATCAAACAAACCCAATCTAGAACAATTTCAAACCTCACAGTTTCCATCATACAAAATTCTGATCAATTTCATTGTGCTGTAAATACGAGGAATCATGCTACATCTTGCAGACAATTTTATCACCGATATAAATCAACTTTACATGCATTCTTATTATTAAACAGGCATCATCAGTCTTGCTGTTGACATATAAAACTATAGGAGGAAAGAAGTAAAATGGCAATCATCAGTACATTCCGGGCCTTACAAGAATTCACATTAAAAAAGAACATGAAGCTAGCTAGCAAATTGGAAATGGAAATAGAGAAATTGGACGTACCAGGCAAGGAGCCATGACCAAGTGGACTTCTAGTTACAATTACCCCGTTACAGTATCCCTATCAAAACTGAGTGAAAATGAAGATCAACTTAAAAAAAATTAATAATAATAGTAAGAAGAAGACTATTTTACTTGAAAAGAATATTCGGACATTACCAGCAAACAAACTACTCTAGCTTCAGTTCAACGACCCACGGCACCTAATAAAGAAAGTCCATCAGGAGTGTCAGTATTATAATCACAACAAGTAAAAAGTACATCTTATAAGTAGCCAGCGGTATTGGTTTCACCCTTCAGGAAAAGAACCATTTTTTTAATGAGAAAAATTATGCATCATGTTTATCCTCGGAATGTAACAATGAATCTGTTGAACTGAAATTAGACAAGGCCAAAATTGCATTCTAAGTATGTCTTAACTTTGGTGACTCTCATCGACATAACCATCTATAAAGATAATCAGCTTAATCAACAATGAAATGTGTTAATCGAGAAGCAAATTTGGTAAAGTAACATTGTAGCTTATGTTGACATAGGCATAGAAAATAAAAGTTAACAGAATTTTATGACTTCAACAAATTCAACCTTTGGAGATCAATGAATTGGGAACTCAGAGCATATTATTAGTTTATTACTGGTCGGTCTAGCGAAGGTTTACCTGGTTAAGTCTCTTACTTAGAGAAACTATCTACTAAAAGTTGATACAAAGAATATAATTGTTCTTGACAAGGCCAACTATAAGAATTGCATAAAGGCAGGATAGGGGCCCCAAATGATCTCACCACAAATATTCTACAAAATAATAATAATAAATAAATAAACTTGAAAGTTGAAACTTATTCGGCAACTTGTCTTTCCATAGAACAATCCACATCAAAATTCTGTGACAACCATGAAAAGAACTCCAATTTCATGTAATATGGTTATCAATAACAAAAGATAACATGACCATGTCAGTATCAGATATTAAAAGACATTCTATTATGTCTATATCTTCAAGCAAAACTTTAGGGATGAAATCGTCAAGTAATTTTCAGTCGAGGGGAAGACGTGAGGTAATATTCCCCACAGTACCACTACCAGGTATAAGCTGACTGACAATTTACTAATATAAATTGCCTTACCTCTTTGAACCGCAGTTGCAAGGTATCTTATTCTCTTCTAATGGGAACTTGTAATTGTAAGTGAGTTCTTCGCCAGAAGCAATATGCCGCTTTGCATAAATGAAAATCTTTTTCTGCCCCTCAACACTTATGACCTTTGTGTAGCAATTAGGCTGAAATCAAATCAGTAACTAATCACATTTTTAGAAGGACTACAACAGAAATCACCTCAAGCAACATAGTCATAACACTTTTGTAATAGTTACCTCACATGAATGATTTATAAATCTAGCAATCCCTCCGCGCTTCGTAGCATCAACCTGCAGATAAATGCATCAGATGTTGTTGCTTTCTGGCAACTATGGTCTTACCATATCAGCAAAACATATTGTAATATATTTTTGTTATACATCTTCCAGATACAGCTTATGAACGACCATTGAACCAGTAATGTAAAAAGGAAAAGACAATCAATTGACAAAAAGGAAGTGACGAAAAAAATAAAGGTGGGGAGGCAGAAGTGGTTTAACACAACTTACGAAAAACCCTGGAAGCAATATAATAATGTAGTAACTGAATGCAAGAAAATAGAAGGTAACTCTGCAGAATGATGCATGATAACCAAAGAATTAACTGCATAGACATTCAATTCACTGTTTGCCACAAGGGTAAGTTTGTTAGGCTCAGTAAATTCAAATACCCTCTCCTTTACTTACCACATAACCGTCATCTAATCTGAAAAGATAACTGCTCCCAATTCCCATTTTCTCATACTGGCGCTCACGGATGTCAGATATCTGAAGAATTCAAGTGAAATTGTTACATTAATAGGAAAAAATGATGAGCTGAATTGAAATGACAAATAGAAGATACCAACAGTTAAGAATTTCCAATAATCTAAAGAGTAACATTCTAAGGGTTTCTACTGTGTTTCAAAATCTTTGGTCCTCGATCAGTCAGTATGCCATCAAGGTCCCTACTTTATGTGCAAATGCTTATAAAAGAATTTTCTCCAAGAATATAATGGGCGTTATGAGGTTCTTCCACATTTCCAATATCAAAATTTCTTTTTGGTGGGTATGCATGTGTCAGAAATTTATGCGCAAAAAGGAACAAAAGCTAACATAATAACATATAAGACAAGAAACATTCATGGACTTCTTAAGCTATTTGGAAAGCCCCTCCCCCAACTAATACATAATAAAAAAAAAGGAAGTAGCTGCTCACACTAGGGCGAATGAGTTCTCCAACATATTCGATAACAAAGTCCTCTGCCTCAATTGGTTCCAGCGCAAGAAGACCCCAATCATGTATCTTGCTCCGCTGGAAACGCAATCGTTTTTTCCTTGCCTGGTCAAGGAAAAGTTGTTAAAAATTAATATTAAACGAGCCAGTAAATGGCATGAAGATCAATCCTCCAATTACCTTTAATTGTGTAGATTTAAGCAGATCAGCACCATCTGCAGCAGCTAGAAGGTTACGCAACTTGACTCTGTTTGTTCTTGCAGAAAGTCCTTTAAAATTTGATGAATGAGATCCATTGCATTCAGAATTAATAGGTCCAGAGTAAATGTGAGTGCCCCTGACACGAGCTCTTTCAGTGGGACTAGCAGTCGAAGCCCATTTACGCCATTCCCAGCCATCCATAGACGACCTAGCACAACCATCAGACTTGGGACAAGCTCTAACCGCCCTAGACTTACTTCTCTTGATCTTGTGCGTGTCAATTTGTTTACATAGTGCGTGTTCCACAATGCCATTTGCTAGTTTTGGGACTTTCCCAGATCGGGAATGCGGTGTATCATCGACCAGTTGCTTCCTTTTGAGTTTTGAGACCTTACTTGCTGCACAAAAATAAACAAGAGCGGAATTCAAACATACTAATCTCACAAGTGAAAAATTGCTCAAGGAATAGATTTGGAAGCTGGATGAATGTGAAATACTAAAAGAAAGAAAGGATGCCAACATTTTGGGACTTTTATGGGGTTACTAGCTTGAAATTCCAAATAATTTGATTGAAATCTTTAGGCACTAGTACTACCCTCCAAATTGTGTGGAGCTTGGTAGAAAAATGAAGGATTCCTTGTTTTAGTGAATTCTGCTAGAATCATCTTCAAACAAATGACTTCTAAAATATCATACAATGATTTAATAATAAGGAACATCTAGTGTTAGCTCTTAGACTGCAGAACTAATATTGAAGAATAGAATACCTTGGACAGCATGAGCTACTTCCTCTGATTTCTGATCACAGATGTGCATGGATGATCTTTTTTTCCCAGGTGTAGCAGCATTTGCAGGCGGTTGACAACTGTCATGTTCTAGAATCTTTTTATCTAGATTAGAAACTATTTTGCCAACTGCAGTAGCCTCGGGTATATTTCTTCTCCTTCCCCGTTTAGATGTTTTTTTAGTGTTTTCTGCAGCCAGAGACTGAAAAAATGAAGCTGAACTTTTGCTACCCAACTTTCTTCTCCGAGAGTATACATATGTTCCTATAAGGACAGATGTTTCGGAAGATCTCTCTAAACCTTCATGCTTTTTCTTATTCATCCAATTCATAGTTCCCTAAAAAGAAAATTAAAGTTATGAACCAAAAGACACCGTTATTCATTTGAGTACTCAGAGGTAAACCTTTAGAAGATCTAAAAATTACCTTCTTGCCTGATTCATTTCTCCTCATAGACTGCATCATTGTTACAGCTTTCTCAATGGCATCATCCAAACATATAGATTTAATTTTTCTCATGACACAGTCATATATCCTCACCCGACTTATCATCAATGCAACCTGGAAAGTGGTTTTCCACGCATGGCCACCTAGTTTAAATAACGGTAGTCGACAAATTTGTGATGATGCATAGTGTTCAGTAACTTCTTTAGATTGAGGTGGGCGCAATTCATCAATAACTGGAATAGTACTAGCATCATCTAAATGCATAGGCAAGTTCCGGAATTTCTCACTGGAGAAATGTGATGAAACATTTTGTTCCATACTTTCTTCACATGCAGCTGGCCACAGTTCATCTAAATCAACAGTAGCATCATCTAAATGCATGGGCAATTTCTGAAAAGCACCCTTCGATAAATTTGTCAAAGAAACGTTAGGAAGATGAAGAACTCTCTGATGCAGTGGATCTTTTGGGTATTGAGCTGGGCATCGGTCATCATCTACTTCTATAAGGGCTGAAACATGAAACGCTTCTTGAGAATCATATTCAGTTGTCTGGTTGAGTAGATCAGAAGAGTACAGCATGACCTGCCAAAGATTTGGTACTGTTATATCGACAGATGATAACATGTTCAAGAAAACACAAGGTATATATTACCACAAGAGATCTTTGTCCTAGGGGGAAAGAAGTTGAACATAGAACAATTCATAGTGAAGAGAGTTTTACATGGTTACCTCTTTCATATGACTACTTTGTGGAAAATCAACTATCTTCTTCACTTCCTCGTCCACAAGTTTTTTAAAGTATTGAACTAATGACAACTTTGAAGATGAATGAAGATCATTCAGTACATATTCCAGGATGAACTCCATTTCATCGCAAGAGGTATCTGAGCTCGACATATTTCGTCTCTTTTTTATCTCAAAAGGTGAAGATACTGATGGTGCATGTGATTGTACATCCATTACACTTCTCTGTGGTTCAAAACCAGGAGGGCAGTCTACATCGGAACTGGAGGAATCCTGTTCATGTACTAGGTGTCAAGCAATTGGAATGGACTTCAAAACAATATATACCAAAACTTAGATCAGAGAAAAACGACAAACACAAATACATACATAGTCAGCTGGTAGCTTTTCAATCTGCACAGAGGACTCTTTGTATGCAATGCATTCATCAACAACATAACTAGGAGACGTCCAACGTTTTGTCTTTCTCCATGCAGATGAACACTCAAGTACAGAATCATAAAAGACGGCATTCCATATGACTTGCAAACAAGAATCAAAGAGGGTCCTGCAAACAACCATGTATGCAGCACAAAAGTTCTCAAAGTTTCCAATTGATTTCATGCTACGAGGAGATCTCACTGTTTCACCACTAAAACATCTTTCATCAACAGTACTACAGACTTCAACTTCATCCACGACAGTCACATTGTCCTTCCTCACATCACTTCTTTCAGACTGAACAAAAGACAATACAGTCTTTTTAGAAGGTTAAAAAAAATAAAAAAAATAATCATATTTGTTTAATGTATGAGTACCTACCATTTTGCCATGTGAAGGAAAGGATTTGGCAGACTCAATGATTGGTTCAATCTTATGATTCTTGTGAATTTTCTTGGAGGCAAGGGAATCAGAAATTATGCAGCTAACAATCTCATCAAGTACAACTTTACGGGCTGTTTTCATGATCCCGAAATGAAGCTGCGAACAAACTTCTTCAGAAACCTCTGATATAAAGTTCAATGCTGAGCCAGTGCCTTGGTCGTTGACATCATGCACAACCTCAGGTCCAAGACTAGCAGTTCTCCACTTGTTTAACAGTGATTCCAAGTGTAAAGGTTTATACTTATTATCAGTGTGATATATCTACAAAAACACACCATGACAGCATTGAGGAATGGCTCAAGGGCAAAAAGAGGACTCGCAAAAGAAACACTAACACGATGAGTAGAATGTCTTGATAAAATTCAACCTCGACAAAAAGGGAAAGTGAATTGAAGCATAGGCTTAAAAGGAGACAAAAGCGGATAAAAGATGCTTGTGTTAGGGAACGGCATAGACCCACAAATAGTTTGCCTGCTTTTGCTTATATTTTCATCTATAAACTTCTCTCCCCACGTCTTGTTTGACTGCTAATTTCTACTTAATACAGAAAGTATTATTTCATTTCAAGAAATATTTCTACATACAAACATCAGATCAATAAAAAAAACATACTATTTCCAAAATATTTCACATCCTAAAACATTTTAAAAAAGACGTAACATGTCACACCAACTCTAATGGATACCCTTCAACTCACTTCCGAACACAATCTAAAAATCCCATTTTTTCTCAAAATGTACTGTTTTTACTGTTCTTTCTATAATAAAATTCCTTGAGCGTCAAGAAATTACACCCTTGATATTTGAAAAATACAAAATAATGTAAAAAAAACGTAATCCAACACACTACAATATTCTGTGCCTTCCAGAATCAACATTAACTTTTCATGTCAAGGACCTTCAGGACATATGCCAAGAACTGGAGAAACATATGCCTTCAAACCTTAGCATACACCCGGCATATAAGATCCTAGTATCTGTTCAAGGCAATTATTACTACACATCCTATGTGAGACTGCTACAACTCTTGCAACCACATAAGGATAATAGAGGAAAATAACAAACATGCAAATGTTAAATGCACCATCTAATGATATCTGGTAACATCATGATAACTGTTTCCTATAAATTCAGCGAAAATCAAGTTTAGAATTCCATTTTCATGCAAAAAATTTATGAACTGTCATCAAACAAGTGAGACAAAACATTCAAGGAATAAAAATGGTAAACCAGTATACAGTAATGTCCTAACTGAGGGTACTTGTAATGAACTAAAGTGAGCCATTTCATGAAGAGTAACACTATGATGGATCCTTTAAGAGCACAACATATACTAATCTTTTATTTTTCCTGGTTTAGCTAACTAGAGGAAATTATACATCAACCAGTCTATATGCATCGTTTAACTTTTGGATGAATCAATAATCATTAATTTGCAAGAAAGGAACATAAGGAGATCGAAAATGTGAAATACTTCCACACAATGCAAAATCTTTTAAATGCTTTCACATGATCACAATCGACTCAACGTGATACAATCTTTTCTAATCAACATGATCCCAAAAGATGGTACAGTGGGACCAGCCACCACCCTTCCAACTGAAACTGGAATGGCCAATATAGTATTAATTGAAAAGGTACTACTATATATACCAGCCAAACCGACTCAACGTGATACCACTCTTTTCTAATTATTTGGCCAAGTAATTATTCAATTAGTCAAATCTCTATACCAACTATATATACCAGCCAAACCGAAGATACACCAACAGATATATTTACATTCTAATTCTATTTCACTGCCTGGAACTATTTTACATACAGATACATGCATAAATATTTATATATCCATAAGCATGAGACATAAAACTTTATCTCAAAGTGGTATTCATCCCGGTAAATGACAGAAAACACTTTTCATTACTTGCAAAGATAGAGATCTTTCCAATTTAAAAATACATAGTTAATCACCATTAGTGAGTTGTGGATATATCCGTAGTGACACCATGAGTGGAGCTCAGTAAGAGAGTGTGGTCCATGTTTTCTCCCCTCACCATCCTCAAACATCCAACAAGATTCATCTCCAACCTGTCAATTCAAAAAATTAATACAAACAAATTGAAGAAGGGTGATAAACCCATTATTCAAGCAATCCTCCATACCAGTGGAAAGTTATCATCTTTATCACTGTTCTCATCAGCTGTAGGATCTTTGACGGGAGGGAGGGAAGAATTTAAATAAACAAAGCCGGTGGCAACATGGTCGGGGAATTGCTTGAAATAGCTGAGGGGGACAGAATTGAGGAGATTCCCATTCAAGATGGGATAAACGTGAAGCTCCCCAGGCAAAAAACCAGTGTGTAAACCTTCGTACAATTGCTGATGAATGTAAGGGCCACACATCTGACCATTTTGATTGATGTACATCCATCCGGACACATATCCGATGTTCGACGATGTGCCGACATCGCGAATTTGAGATACTTCAGCATCATTCACACTCACGCTCACCTCGCTGCTCATCGATTATCAACGTCGGTTTCAGAGAGAAAAAGATGATGGCGCAAATTTTGACCTGGGTCATCCAGCCCGAGCCCTAATCTAGGCGAAATTTGGGGGCATAGATTATTATTGAATGTTTTTTAAATCAAATCGGACGGGTCATCCATCGAACCAAACACATAACTGGGTCACGCTTGTTGGATCATTTCAACCTTCAACTTGGTTTTTCTTTTTCTTTTTTCTTTTTTGTTATTTATATAATAAAAATACATTTATGAAAGATAATTTATCATTGCTAAATACCAAATTTACAATTATAATTCAACTCACTAACTTTCCATCATAAATTTGAAAAATATAATATAACCTTACCTCACATAATCAAATAAACGAATTTAATTAGGAGGCCAAAATTAATTGATATAATTAGCAAATTATTTTCTACTTCTAAGTACCTAAATTATCACTACTTATTTTTATCCAAGCAACAAAATTAAATTTGATGTATTATTTTCCGGAACTAATTCCAATTTAAAAAAATTTGAAATCTAAAATTGCATTCCGATTCTAAAAGTTACAAAAATTTCGAAAATCGCATTAGTTTAGAATTTCAAAAAAAATTATAAATTTTCAAAAATAAGAAAAACCACTTTGATAAAAGGGGAAACTACAGATAAATCCCTAATCCAAAACTCAAAACACAGATCAGTCCCTAGGTAGTTTCCCCAAGCAATTCAGTCCCTACTCACGCGCCTAACATGCAGATCAGTCCCTAATAAAATGTGCAAATACTAAAATACCCTTTACTTTATACTAATTTTACATAACTTCTTTTCAACTTCCAACGCGCCGTTTGTGTTACACGCTCTTTGCCCGTTACATTTCAAAAATCAAACAACAAAAAGAAGCTAAAAAGGCGCAGAAAAAAAACCACCGTTCAGTTTATACATATTTTCAGACCAAGAAGAAACAGAGAAGAAACGAAGAACAAAGAAACGAAGAACAAAGAAACAACAAAGAACGAAGAAATTACGAAGCACGAAGAATCAACAAAACGCAGAAAAATAATAAAGCGAAAGGAAAAATAAAAATAAACAAACTCATTTATAGACAATGGTGAAGCAGGGTAAACAACAAGGTTTGATTTTCTATTTTTTTTCTCATTTTCTTGGAAACATACCCATTTGGGTGTTGCTTGAGCTTGCAAAAGGTTTATTTGTTATAGAATTGCATGATTTTGATCATATCCACTCATGGGTATTATGCCTCGACTTTATTCGGTGTTTCCCCTAATCATTAAATCGGTTCCAATATCTGTTGTTCTGTTGTTTGGGTTTGCAAAGATCATTTATTTGTTGTCGAATTTCATGATTTTGTAACAGTTTTCTCATGGGTATTATTCTTCGGTGACATTAGCATGTCCCCAAAGCATTTTGAGTCCTAACAAGGGTTTCATATAGGATATGGGAAAGATGCTTATTGTATTTTTCGTACTGGTTCTATAGTATGTGTCATGCGCAGTAATGGTATTAATAGTGCATTTAGATGGTATTGACACATGGTACTCGAAGTACTGTCCCGAAAGCATTTAGTCCCAACAAGGGATATGACATATGTAATAATGGTATTGCTCTTGACTTCGGACGGTATTAACACAGGGTACTGAAAGTATAATCTTTGATGGTTCTGTAGTATGTGTCATATGCCACAATAGTATTGTTAGTGCCTTTGAATGGCATTGCTAGTGACTTTGGATGGTATTGACACATGGTACTGGAAGTATAAGTTTGATGGTTCTGTAGTATGTGTCATATGCCACAATAGTATTACTAGTGCCTTTGAATGGCATTGCTAGTGACTTTGGATGGTATTGACACATGGTACTGGAAGTATAGTGTTTGATGGTTCTGTAGTATGTCTCATATGCCACAATAGTATTACTAGTGCCTTTGAATGGTATTGCTAGTGACTTTGGACGGTATTGACATATGGTACTAGAAGTATAATGTTTGATGGTCCTGTAGTATAAGTCATAAGCCACAATAGTATTGCTAGTGCCGTTGAGTGGTATTGCTAGTGCATTCGAATAGTATAATGTTTGATTGTAATGTAGTATGTGTCATATGCAACAATGGTATTGCTAGTGCATTTGGATGGTATTGAACGAAATTACTGGAAGTACTAGTAGTGGAACTTTATAGTACGTTGTATTTGTTATAATTGTAGTTTTATGTGTATGTAATGCAGGAATTGATGTAAAAGAAGATTGCAGCAAGCTATCAATAGGCTGCAGGTGCTCACCGATCGCTTTTCAAACAGATGAATGTGTTTTTGTGCCATAAACAATCTGTCCTTTTGTGGTAGAGCTACTAATACTATTGATTAGCTCTACTCATACTTTTCCATTGTATACATTGTACCATATATTTCGATGAAATGTACTTACCTTTTGAACACATGGTACTTTATTTTGCGATTAATTAGTTTGTATAAAGAATATAAGCGTACCATAAAAATGAGCAACAAATACTTTCTAGTCTATTCGAAGATACCTTGTCAACACTAGACTTGTACTTACTTGATGAACAAAGCGTACTTCACATGTGTATTCACGAAAAACTTACCATAATCGATGTTGATCGACTCCCACATTGTTCCTATTCATTCTTAATAGTCTTAAATTGAAGAGTTGTGTCTTAAAATGCGATCATATGGATGCATTGGCCCGACAATAATATATAGAGTGTAACAATACTATAGTCACGAATCACTTGTACTTCACATGTGTATTCATTGTACTTACTTGATGAACAAAACGTACCATATTTTTTGATGAATTGAATTGTACCAATTTCATTGACGCTTTAATGATCAATAAGTACGGGAGATGCATAAATTATGTTTTAGATGATTATTTTAAGGTAGGTGAGCATTATTGTTGCGTTTGGAATACAAGATCCCATAAATATGTTGAATTTCACACATGATACTCATATACTATACAATATACTCATACAAGCCTACAATGCTCAAGTGTAAAACTAATATTTTCCTCAATTGTTACCATAATCGATATTGATCAACTCCCACATTGTCTCCATTCATTCTTAATAGTCTTAAACTGAAGAGTTGTGTCTTCAAATGCGATCTTATGGATGCATTGGCCCGACAATAATATATAGAGTGTAACAATACTATATGAATGGCAAACATATACTTTATCAGTGAACAAAGCGTACTATAGTCACGAATCACTTGTACTTCACATGTGTATACATTGTACTTATTTGGTGAATAAAGCGTACTATATTCACGAATAACCCAAACTTTACCAGCTTATACATTGTACTTATTTGGTGAATAAAGCGTACTATATTCACGAATAACCCAAACTTTACCAGCTTATACATTGTACTTATTTGGTGAATAAAGCGTACTATATTCACGAATAACCCGAACTTTACCAGCTTATACATTGTACTTATTTGGTGAACAAAGCGTACTATATTCACGAATAACCCGAACTTTACCAGCTTATACATTGTACTTATTTGGTGAACAAAGCGTACTATATTCACGAATAATCCTAACTTTACCAGCTTATACATTGTACTCTTATGTTCACTAATTAAACAACAGTACATAGGTTTTACATAGCATGTAGACTGCAAATATTACTAGATTCAACACTATCAAACTATGAACTACTCCACCTTCAGAATTGCAATTCTTCACTTCACTTTCTCGATGGACTTGGTTCATCGACGCACTTGTAGCTTCATTTTCTTCACGATTTGAGTTGGAAAAATTTTGCCCAACTTCAAATGGTTCACACCAATGGGAGTAGCCATGGTGTAGGCAACAGTAAAATAACCTTCCGGGATTCGAAATAGTTTCTGAAACCATGAATTAGAAACAAATGAGCGTATGTGTCATTTATGCTCATATTATGACTTGACTACTTCTAACAATAAGCAACGGCTATATTAGTTTGTAACGGTCATAAATTGAGTAAGTCATACCATCTATCTCATAGATAATACCATGGGTAAATAAAATCAGTACCTTTATACCGACAATGATAAACCATCAACCAACATAAGACATACCATCATATCCCGTAGATAATACAATGCGTAAATCAAATCAGTACCTTTATACTGAAAATGATAAATCATCAAGCAACAACAAGCATACCATCATATCGCAAATCTAATACCATGTGTAAATAAAAATAGTACCATTAGACTGAAAATGATAAACCCTCAACCAACAATAGGCATACCATCCTATCTCATATCCAATACCATGTGTAAATAAAAATAGTACCATTAGACTGAAAATGATAAACCATCAATGAACAGAGTACATAATACATAGTACAAACTATAAATAGCAAAAGCATAGTGCAAATTGAAACATAGTACAAAGTTTAAATCAACATAGTACAAATCACATAATAATAAAGTACAAACAGCCAGTTTTCATTCACTTCAATCACTTGAATAACATAATGGGCAATCATGTGTGCTCTCCTCCATCTTGTCCTCCCTGATGAAAAAAATAAAATTTATATTAGAAACAAAACTAGTTAGTTTAAATAACACAAATGCAAACAATATTTACATTAAAAAAATTGCTAGTCAGATTGGTTGTGTGCAAGTACGACGATTGTGTCCAGGCTTCCCACACCGAGTACACTTCAGTTTACGAGTTTGCACTTGTGAAGGAATTCTTTTTGTCTTTCTACGTCCCGGTCGAGTTCTCAATCAGCTGCATTAACAAAGACATCGGGTGGAGCATTACACGCATCGTACAAGTCAAAGTCCTCATCAAACGAGGGAATTGGGTTAATCGTGAATTGATATACCTGTTTGTACGTATCCGAATAATGGTTAAGTACTGTCTTCCCCATTATATTATACTATGTTTTCCCACCAACAGTACCAAATTTACCTATCACCCATACTATTCAGATGAAGGTTACGTACTTGTTAGAGTAGGTGACCAACAAGCCAACCTGTGGCTGTGGTCTTTCGTATTTATTATTGTAATAAACGAACCTTTATTCGTATTAATGATAAAACACATTGGCATTCTATATCTTTGTC